CTGAGAGCAGGAACCCCGACAGAAATGCGTCACTGGAGAGAGAAACATGAATACTGCTACGTGCCACCCCGTGAATGAACATCGCCTGGCATGTTCGGATTAAGGTGGTTGTGGTTGTCGTTAGTGCCCTGGATCGGGGCTGACCCACAGCCACCCTGTGCACAACAGAAGGAAACCCTGCCCCGTCCTCACAAGAGTTCCTATGTGTGGTAGCCACAGTGTCTATCCATCTCCGTGAGAGCCTTCTTCAGTTTGTTCGTAGTCTGGAAACGTGACTGAAACCCGTTCACATTGGGTGACGCTGCTGCCATTTGAAATCCCAGTGACATATAGCTTCCAGCATCCCAGCAACACCCAGGCCACCACAGTCCAGCAAACGAACAGACCCATGGGAGCATATGAAAGTTCAACCAAACCAAATTCACTGCCACTGAATCAGTGCTGACTCATAGTGACCCCTGTGAGTTTCTGAGACTATAACTGTTGACGGGAGTAGAAAGCCCAGTCTTTCTCCTGAGGAGCTGCTGGTGGTTTCGAACTGCTGATCATGCAGATCTCAGCCCAACGGGTAACCACTATACCATCAAGTCTCTTAGGGATCCTATATAAAGGGTTGTGGTAATTACATAATTTCATGTCAACTTGATAAAGATGTGTAGGGGTGGAGTCTAGCCTGTCAACCAGGTCACAGCCTGATGATGCCTTCCGTGGCGTGGCCTTCTCATGAGGATTCTGGGAACTTCCGCTCTTTCTCCCCGGGACCGGGCCACATTCTCTCTTTGTTTCCTGTTGAAGAGGAACAACCTTCTTGTTGAAGAGGCACACTCAGAGAGCTGGAGGAGCCACGTGAAGATCCGAGCCAGCCCTGAGATGCTTCCAGAGTCATTGGATCCATAAGCCTTTCCACCCACTGGCCTGTGATTTTCCTGCATTCTGCATCACTGCATGTGACTGCGTGAGTCTGAAGAAGGATTTTTGGACTACTGTTGGACTTATGGTTTAATATCAGACTTATGGATTTGGTCTGGACTGGGCTGGGATGTTTTCTTAATAGTCAATTGCTCTTTGATAGAAGGCTCTTTCTCATACATATATGAGTGTCCCTGGATTTGTTTCTCTAGTCAACCCAGTCTAACACAAAATTCCTCAACCAGCCATAAAGAGAAATTAAGTCCTGCTACATGCTGTGGCATAGAAGAAGACATTATGGTGAATCTGATATTAGACACGTCAGATTCAGAAAGAGAAATATTGTTGAATCCTACTTACATGAAGCAGTCAAATGGAGAGCAAAGGTATTAGTTGTTCCCAGGGCTGGGGAGCTCCTGGTGGTACAAATAGTTAATGCATTCACCTGATGACCAAACATTTGGAGGTGAAGTTCACCCAAAGGTGCTTCAACCCAAAGTCCTAATAATCTACTTAGGGGAAAAAAATGTTACAGAGAATCCTATGAGAATAATCAACCATCTGAGACCAAAAGGTCATTATTTATTTACCCCAAACAAATTTCAGATTGGTTAGGAAAGAAAGCCCCCCAAATCAAATTCACTGCCATCGAGTTGATGCTGACTCACAGTGACCCTATATGATGGGGTAGAATGGCCCTGATGAGTTTCCAAGACTGTAACTCTTGATGGGAATAGAAAGGCCTGTTGGTCTCTCTCAGAGAAGCTGATGGTTTCGAACTGCTGACCTTGCAGTTAGCAGCCCAATGAGTAACCACTACAACACCACCAGGGCTCCCTTAGGAAGGAAGGAGGGATGTAAAAGGCAACACGAGGAGGACCTGGGATGAGGGTGCTCCGTTGTACGGACTGCCATCAATGAGATTAAATACATACATCTGAAGTGGTGGCTGGAAAGGCTAACAGGTGGGAGAGAGGCATTGCCTAGGAAACACGGTGGGATGTTTTTGCAAAGAACAGTGCTAATGGAGAGACCAGTACCTGGAGAAGCACCCCATACTTGGTCAAGAAGGGAGGTGGGGATAAAGAGGAAGACCCTCGGCGATGCGGATCGACACAGTGGCTGCAACAACAGGCTCACGCAGAGGGGCAATTGTGAGGATGATGCAGGACTAGGCAGTGTTTCGTTCTGTTGTGCCTACAGTTGCTGTGAGTCGGAACCAATTCAATGGCACCTAACAATTGTCACACAGCATGATAAATGTAATTGATGTCACTGAATTGTAGGCGTAAACATTTGTTACTTATCTTCTTTTTGCACCACTACCCACACCCACACCCACACAACCAGTGCACCCACCATGCTTGGCCTCAAGTGTCCATGATATGTTGATGCCTATGAAAGAGAGGGTGGAAGTCCTTCTCTGGATAAACTAGAATTGGGAGTTGGTGAATCACTATACCAGTGCAAAGCTTCCTTGATAAAACTACCCCAGTTTCTCGATTTGAATAACCTTTTTCTGGATTTACCTGACATTTGGGACAAATGTTAGTTATATTTAGGCAGCACGAGGGTAGGATAGGGGACCTGTTATCTGTTCCTCAAACTACTATCAATCAAATATGGAAAGAGCCCAGGGCCCAGCATTCCAAGGGGCACCCTCTTGTCTAGGAATCCACCAGCACATGGCCAACCATTGTGTCAACAATGCAGATGCCAATATAGCCAAGATCCAGTTCCAGGGATGACTTACCAAGTTGGAAACTCATGCCTGCAACATTCATGGGGCAAGAGAAGGGTGGCTGCTGGGGTTTGATTTTGCTATGCTTGGTTCAGTCGCTGTCCTTTTGCCATGAGCAGGCTGACATCAATGTTTTTACGTTGAGAGCAGTGGAAACAGGGAAAGAATGAAGACCCCAGCCCCACCCCCTTCCCTGGGCTCAAGAAAGCTAAGTCTAAATTGGGGGCGGGGGAGGGGTGATGTTTGCCTGATGGGGAACCACAGTTATGGGATGGGCACCGGTATGGAGTGTCCATTAATGGCTACAAGCAGGAGTCTGACCGGAACACCAATGGCATTGAGGTTCTCGATGGGCTCATGCTGGAGGCCCTAGGCAGCCCACCCTACGGTAGCTTGTTCTCTCCAGAGCATTGTCTGTGGGTGGAGATGCTGGTTGGCTGGTTCTCGGGAGCTAACTGCTCGCTTCCCAACATGTGATCTGGCTTACAGCCAACCTGGTGTTGTACCTGAGAGGTGCAGGGAGCATCCAATTTGGGATGGAGGTGGGGCTGGACGGTGCTCAGTTGGGTGGCGCCTATGTGTTAAGGGGAGGGTTCACTGGGGCATCTGGTGTCATAGAAAGTGGATGGGCTCAGGAGTCCCAGACCTGCGCCTTCGTGCCGCCCCTTCAACCCACTCTGGTGACCCTGGACCAGCCATTTATTTGTTGGGCCATTTTTGTCTGTGAACCACACAGTGATCAGCTTTCCTTCTTGTTGTTAGGTGCCATCTAGTAGGGTCCCACTCATGGCCACCCCAAGCACAACAGTATGACACGTGTCTGGTGTCTGGTCCTACGCCATCCTCACAATTGTTCTTAGGTTCGAACCTGCTGTGTCAGCCACTGTATCAATCCATCTTATTGAGGGCCTTCCTCTTTTTTTTTTCTCTCACTGCCCCTCTACTTTGCCAAGCATGATGTCCTTCTCCAGGGACTCGTCTGTGCTGATCATGACCTGGGGACCTCTGGTCTTGACCTGGTGAGGCAGGTACCTGTGTACAGGGGATGTGCTGGTGTCACTGCTGGGTGGAATCCAGATGCAGGGCTGGAGGACTAGGCGGCCTAGATGAGTTTCTGGGATCCTGGCCCAGGGTGGAAGTGAGGGGCAGGGTGCAGCATGTGGGGCCTGGGGTGGTGGTGAGGGTGTGGTACATTGGCAGGATCCAGCTCTGGGGTAGGGGCCCCGGGTAGGAAGGAGCAAGAGGGTGGGATCCAGGGGCCGATGGGGGCACAAGGTAGCGTCTGAATGCAGGGCAGCCCAGGGACAGTAACCAGTAGGCGGAGGAACTGGGTGCATGCCAGATCCGACAGAGGGTGTGCGAGGCTCCTAGGGGAGGGGGGGAGGGTGGAATCCAGGAGGGGGTGCGTGCGGGGGAGAGATCCAGGAAGCTGCGCTTGCAGGATCCATAAGGGGGTGCGTGAAGAGGCGGGACCTGGGGGTGCGTGTGGGGGTGGGACCCAGGAGGGTTTGCGTGCCAGACCTGGGCGGGGGCACG